TCCTTATCTTCGTCGACATATTGCAACGAAAACTGACCAATAACATACTCGGGATTCAGTTGAGCAATTTTAGCTTCTAATTCATGATAAACATCATTTTCCGATGCAATGTTCACCTAAAACATAAGCAAAATCGAACATGTAGTGTGAGCGAAGAAGAGAGCAGAGATGCTCACGTCAACCTACCTCAAAGCGTCGAATTTCTGACTGAGTTTGATTTAAATCATCATAATAGGCTTTTACAATCAATGTTTGAGTCATTTTGATGCTTGTACAAGTTTGTTTAGTGTTTATGCTTTGTTTCGATTGAGAAAAATAAAATTTTCACTGTGAATGGGGGTATATATAGTATTTTCTGTAATGCCCAGATATGGTGAATATTAATCATAAATGAGTAATAAAGACTAGAAAGGAAGAGAAGAGGTAAGAGAAAAAGTTACATAACATAGAAAAGAACAGAACAAAAATTTGGTTATTGAAGGTTAGTATTGTTTTCACAATAGGTTCAGATTTATTCAATACAATGGATTCTGGATGAAAATTATACATAATGTAAAGATATAATGTGACGTGGGTTATTTTTGTCAAAATCAAAGAATTTCTTTGCTGTTTTCGCAAAAGTCGTGATAGACAAAATCCATTGTGCCTCGACTCGAGATTTCTTCCAATCTTAACGTATTATTTAATTTTTATCTGCAGGAAGATTGCAAAACATGAATGGGAACTATTATTCAACTGTCCTAATGTAATTCAAGCATCACTGCATGGGTATCTCAATAATTTCAAAACTTCAATCAAGAAAACTAAGCCAATTAGATGAAAGTCGAAAACATTGTGAACTTTCTAAACTCAAAATTTTTTTCGACTTGAACTTTTTCTTCTGCTACTATGTTCCCTAAAAAGTGTAGCAAAAGGGAGAACTCAGTTTATGTTTGGTACTTTCAAATGTGCTCATTCTCGTGGTCTGTAAAAAAGCTTTTTTAGAGCAGATGGTGTGCTCGAGAGCGAAGTTCCACGGAAAAGACGATTGAAGTTTGATTTCGCAGTTAGATAGAGAAGAGCAATTATTTCTGATCAAAACAAGCAAACCCGACCAAAAAAGCTTTTATTTTGATGAAATTATAGGGCTTTTACTGAAAGCACTACTATACTCGAAATTTAAAAAATTAATGAAAAAAAGCATAACAAGCGATAGAAAAACTATTATTTCGCTGTGGCTTTTGATGTGAAAAAATCTGAAGCGTAGCTAAAAGATAGAGCGAAGTCAGGGCTACAAAATGGCTAATCAGTTTTTCTTACTTTCAAAACGTTAACACAAGAAATAATTTTTGAGTTTAGAAAGTTTACATTTTTTTCGACTTTCATCTAATTGGCTTAGTTTTCTTGATTGAAGTTCTGAAATTATAGTTTAGATATGATTTTGTAGATATGACAAATCTTTTTAAAAAAAAGTTTGGTCGATAGCGTCAGATTGACTGACTTATAGCGAAAACAAGGTAGTGTAATTCTTTACCCATTACATACGCTTTGACCATTTTGTGTCCTGCGAGTAAAAAAGCGATGCAGCTCAGCAAAACCTAAACAAAATTCCTATCAAAAATAGTCAAAAGATAGTCCTGCTCTTACCGGTTAGTCTGGCAAAAAATAAATAAAAGATTAAATTTCGTTTAACAAATCGATGAACAGTTTCCGGCCGTTTTACATACACTTTGTCCCGAAAGTTTTTCGATTGTACTTCGCTCGCATCGCCGTAAACACTTGAGCTTCAATGCTCATTTTTTTACCATTGTTTCACTTGTAATTCTTCACATATCCTGCGATTTTTGCCTCAAAATATTCTATAGTTCTTGAGAAAATTGAATTTTACTGCAAAAATGTCCCGCAAGTTTTTTGCTCTAAAATGTCCGAGAGTATTACGCTACGATATTTTGGTGAAAATATGATCAAAACTCAACTTATTACATACCGTTCGATTCGTCTTCATAAGGGCTGCCTGATGATAAACAGTATAAGGCTTCACAACACGCTTTGCATTCATGTTTAACTGAGGTTCAGCTAGATCCTGAAAAAGTACTGTTTCTGTTCCAGTGATGTTGAAATGAATGCTCTAACGAACTCAGATAAGTCTAAACGGATTGCCGACATCTAGATCTACCAGGCTATGTACATAAAGCATTGTTTCGTACGCCTTCTATTCACTTCATTTAAAAACACCTCGAGGATTTCACTGCTTTTTTCGACAGAATCAAGCGTTCTGCAAAAAATGAACGTGACAGTTGGGAAAACTATTTTTTTGTCATTGTTAGGACTACCACAAATCGATCAGATCATCAAAAATAGATTCAGACAAAGTTTGTTTGAGGTATTTTTCTATACGAACGGTACATGGCCTATCCAAACGTACCATCGAAAAAACGTAAGTCCGTAACGTTTTATGAAAGTCATAGCTCTTCAGCCGAGCAATGTACAGAGTTGCGAAACGTCTCATTTTGTAGCTAGAGTTCCTTTTGAAATGTTTCTCAGTGTAGAATTATTCAAATAGAAATTATTTGTAGTTTGTTTTCTTTATCGCCAATATGTCTTCTGCTAGAATAACTTTGTGCTAATATTCGCAAGGAAGATCTGAAAATAGCACCTCATACTAACTAAGGCAAACAAGGGTGACAAACTTCTAGTTTTTGCATATAACTCATTAAAATAACTGTGATTGCAGACTAACCACTACTAAACTGTCAGATGAAATTTTTGCTTTTATTTTTTAAATTTCTGATTAATAGGTACTATATTCATTTCGACACATACTTGCTTTGTTTTTATTATTTATACATTTTGCGTCAGTGAATTAGGTAATAATATTAATCATAAGAGAAAATCGAAATAGATATTATGTATACAACTAAATAAATTCATAGAAAAAAGAAAAAAGAAAAAAAGATAGACAAAAAGAACAACGCACTTATAATAGATATATAGCAGAAAAAACAAATAAACAAAAATCGACAAATAGAGAAAAGGCACCAAACAATGACCTATTTCTACACACGCACGCACACACACTTTTGGCATGCAAATGAAAACAGAAAAATTACATGAATTGAAAGAAGAAAGCAGAATAAAGATGAACTACGTAGCACTAACAAGACAAAAGAAAAAAAAACTTTTTAATAATTAATAAAAAATATTATTTTATATCGTCTATAGTTATCTGTACATATAGACGATAGTTCGATCGATATAGTATGACTTAAACAAGGGAGAATGAGATAGAAGAAAAAAAAATTGCACTTTAGTTGAAAATAGCATACAAACAAACAAACAAACAAAAGACAGAACTTGCATAGATAAAAAAAGCATACAAAAAGAAAACATTTGTAATTGTTTAAACACTAGTATTTTATCTAGTTACACGAAATAGAAATTTACTTGCATTCTGTAAATGAGAGAAAGGGGAATGGAACTATTGAAAAAAACGAAAGAGACAACATTGATGAGCACCAACAAGAATAGTATTCAAAGGAAAGACTGACGGCTTCTCACCCATTAAGCACAAAAAGCACAATGAAGTGACTGACTTGTTGCTCTGAGATTGATTATAAAGATAAATTTTATCCGACGTGTTTTATTCTATGAGAGTATTTTTTAACGAGATAACCTGACAAATTCATTTTGACCTCGATCTGATTCTAGCGTATATATGCCGCTGCAAATAGAAAAATATTGCCTTCATTCATCGTAAAAAGAAAAAAAAACGTAAAATATAGTTTGAAGCTTGTTTCTACAAAAAACAAAAGTGAATTTCATTCTCAATCATAATAAGAGATTATTTTTGTTCCTGAAATGTGATATTCTTTTTATTTTTATTTGGAGATTATGAATAACTTTGTTTCTTTCTATTTCCATCATTCTCATCGTTCATGTTCAATATTAATCGATGTTCTTTGCTACTACTGTTCTCGTTGTTTTCATCATCATCTTCCTCTTCATCTTCTTCATCGTCGTCTTTTAGTGACATCGATCGAGATGATACTGTTGAAGTATTTTCTCCACTACCAATTGTCTGTTGTTTTATTACATGACTATTTGTTTGTTGTTCCTTTTTCGGTTCATCAGTTGATGTTGATGGTCCAATGTGTACTTGATGTCGAAAATTCATTGGAGCAGATATAATTGCTTTATTTGTCGACGTATTTGATGTTGATAAATCTGAAGAAAATGTGGTAATATCACTTGGTCCTAAGATAAGAAAAAGAAAAAATCAATTTATGAATATTTAGTGAATAATACTACCAACCTATGTGTGTTAAATGTACAAAATTAAGAGGTCCCGAAATAATTGATCGACGATGAGCTGATGATGCCGATCCATTTGATGCAAACATATTTTGTTGTTGTTGTTGTTGTTGTTGTTGTGTATTCAATGTACTACCACTTCCGCCATAACTAGACGAATTTAATGAATTAGATTGACTATGATTGCTCATTAACGTATTGGATGGTGAAATTTGTTTGAGGCCTGATATTATTTGTAAACCTTCACCTTTTCCCAAATGAGATATATGCGTAAAATCTTTTGGACCAGAAATGAGTGATTTTACATTTTCTTGACTTTCACCACCGTTTCCACTTGTGATTGTTGACGTTGTTATTTGTGATATTTGTGGTGTGGTTAATCGTTGTTGAACATTTGATGATTGATCACTTAACAATTTCGACGGTACACGAAAACGTTTTGTTGAATTACCAATGCTTTTTGATTTATCTGGAACATTTAGAATGATCGCAGCAGAACTATTTGATGATGGAGGTGAACGAAGATGTGAACGTTGAACAAAATAGAGTAATTTAGCTGCATCATTTTTTATATCCGGATCATTGGTAATAAGTACAGAGCCATCATTTGTTAATGGTTTTGTTCGTTGTAAAGGAATTGATTGTACCCAAGTAGCTGATGGAACATCGTAGACATCAATCGAACGATCGGTAAATATCATGAGAAATGGTTCTTGATATGCTGTACTAATAGGAGCTGTTGACCACATTAATTCTCGATGACGAGTACGAATACCCATTTGATTTACATAAATTCCTAATTCACGAAATACTAGTAAAAGTTCTATGTTGTTATTGGCAGTTGCTGTTGATGTACTGTTACTAACAGGTATTACACGTAATGTTTCAATTGGACGTTCACGAAAAAATTGTAACGTCGGATCTTCGTCGCGGAGAAGTGCTAGAAGAAGTAGACATACTCTATCAATAATATCACACTTTTATAACAATTTAATATTTATAATAGTGAATAGTTAGTTATTCTATCAAACATTACTTACAAATATTTGCACCATCAATTGTTGTATTAATTTTTTGCATAACAAATGTAGATGGATAACCTAAATAAAACAACAAAGAAGATAGTATTCTATGATAGTAAACAAAATGTCTAATTGTAAGACAACTTACCATAATACAATTTATCCTGATTAATTTCTAAATATTGTACTGGATGTACTATGTTAAACTCTTTTAGAAGACTGTGAAATGGACGTTGTTGAAATATTTGATATATCAATATACGATTTTTAATTGATACACACAATATTGCTTGACCATTATTTGTTATCGGTTTACTGACGGCAAATGTTGTACAATTTTTTGTTTCTGGAATTTTACAGCCTTCTGTTGTTGATAATGACGATATTGCATGATGATGAACGTTATGATGATGATGAGAATGAAGAAATGGTTCAATAAGTTGTTTCAATGGTTGACAACGTATTGTACGCTGTTTTCCAGATAATGTTAATAATAAATTTAGTTCATTTACGATAGATATTTGATAGACTTTTTTATCACTTAATTTGATAGAAGCTAAACAAATATTTACTTTTTATAGTAATATTTATGTCAGAAAAATTACTTACAATCTTTTGTTACATTGACTAAGTATAAACCATCTTCACCACAAACAAAAATATGATCAGAATCTTTAAAAGAAACGAAATAGATTGATTTTTTTCTCTGATCAAGCTAAAAATAATAAGTTAATATTCGAACGATATAGGGAAATATTTACCTAGAATGGCTGCTGCTGGTGATTCTTTTAATGCGGAACAACGTGATGTATCAAATAATTCCTTGGCAATAAAGCCCTAAGAAATGACAGATGTAATATGTAATAAACTTGCCCATAATAATCATAATAAACTTACAGCATTTTGTTTCATAGTTTTGACTTTAACAGATAAATCTGAGAGCATATTGATATATTGTGTTTTCTCAGCTTCATTATTTGTTAATATCAATGTATGATAAAGATGTTTTGGTGAAGCTAATTTCAATACACTGATCTAGAGAAAGAGAGAGAGAGAGAGAAAGACAAAAATCAATCTTATGTGTTGAACTAATAAAATAAAATCATACTTTGAAAATACTGGCTATATCTTTTTTATTTGCATGATAAGCATCCGATGATGATACTGTTGAAACATTGAATTCTTCATCTCTATGAAAAATAAAATTTATTATATAATCACTTTTAGAGAAACAGAAGAACAAATACGAACGTTAAATCAAGAATAAATGACGGTTGCGCCCATGTTATTTTATTATCTTTTTCTGGTGATAGTTCATAGAATAAGAGTTTTGTTTGTAAATTCAGCAATTGATGTTTCATCCAACCTAAAATCAAATAACTTCATAGGTAGAAAAATGATTATATTTTTTTACATGATTATATACCTTTTTTTATTCCACCAGCTTTTGGTACCTAAATAAAAAGAGTAACATTTATTCATATTTATAATTCTACAATATAACAAGTAAATATGTAAAGAAATACGAACTCGAACAATATGCTGATCTGTCAGTGGTGATCGATCTAAATAACAACAAAAATATCTACTATCTACTGCTTAAAAAATAAAAATAATTTTTCAAAATTTACTTCGCTCTTTTGTAGTTAACTGACATGGCATCGTTATTTTTTCCATACAGTCTGGATGACAGATCACTTTACATCCTTTTAAAGTGAAACAATGTCAAAATGAAATAATTTCAATGATATGAGATATACATACGTTGACAGACAAAACCTTGCCGAATTAATCCAATCAAAGCATTTTGACATTCATCACACGTTGCAGTTACGTGAAAATTTGCAATGAGAAAATCATGATATTCATTCTAAAGATGAAAAAAAAGATGTTAGTTTATATTTGAAACATGAAATAGTCCGTTACTTTTAATGGTAAAAGCGGTTTCAGAATTGACGATGTTGGTGGTACTAGTATGTTTGATTGTAAAACATCATCGATATTATCTCCACGATCACTATCGAATGTCGTTGAAAGTTCATCATTCTTAAAATATAACATAAATAAAATGAATAGTTCATATATTCAGATGAGAAAAAGTAAATCATACACGTGTCTCTGATAATCCAGCTGTAGCACTACGTAAAAATCGATCAAATGATGTATTGTTGACGTTAAATGATTGATCATCCATGAAATTATCTACAAGAAAATAAAACTTTATTTTCTGTTTTCTTTTATTCTCTCATTGTTCAATATACCTGGAGAAAAATTATTTGTTGTTACAATACCTCCCGGTGATCGAAGTATACCCGATCGTGTTACACTATTATTTGGAGTATGATGATCTAGCGAATTTTCATACAAATGTTTGAAATGATTCATTTCACGTTGAAGTTTTTCTATTTCTTCACGTAATTGTTGATTTTCTCTAAAAATAAAAAAAAATCAAACAATAGTGAAATTAATAGTTGATCTCAGATTAAAATGTACATACTCGACTTTTAAAATATTTTCTGCTTGACAATCTTTTAATTCTTCATGAATTTTTTGTTTTGCTTCAATTTCTTTTTGTATAGATGTTTGTAATTGTTGAATTTCCATATGTTTTAATTTTACAGATCGGCCATGTTTCCATGACTATCAACAAAAAAAAAATGAAATAATACCAAAGACAAAAATATCATTTTCATCTCTCACCGTATTGTGCCCAGTCGATGATGAGGATGTTAATGGTGATGCTAGACATCCTGTTTCTCTAATTGTATCTAACTCTTCTGCCATTTTCAATGCAAGACCCTTTGAAAGATATATAAACAGTTTTGAATATTTCAAATATATTCGAGAATGAGAGTAGGAGAAAGAATCTACATAATTAAAATTCCTCGATTTGACTAGCTAACTCTGCTACTGGAATGAAATTTTTTATTACGTTTTTTTATGCATTTTGTTCCTCTAATAATTATCAAACGGCGAGATACTCAAAGCTCTAGGACCTGTCAAATAAAAGAGGAAAGTGTACTGAAGACTTACGATATATTCTTATTCCATATGATCGATCTTTCATTCGAAAAATATGCCTAGATCTTTTTTGTATTTTTATCATATTTTCCGATATCTCAAAATCTTCAGCACACTTTCCTCTTTCATTTGAGATCCTAGAGCTCTAGGTATCTCGCCGTTTGATAATTATTAGAGCAACAAAATGCAAAAAAACTGTAACGGAATTCCATTCCGGTAGCAGAATTAGTCTGGTCAAGCCGTCAGCTCCCTTTCAAACAAAGTATTGAAAATTTCTTCCTCAACAAGACATTCAAATGGACAATGATACGCCGTGTGTCTAACCTTCAAATGTGTTCTTGCTGTTTTCTCTTCACTTATCCATTTTAATATATCGTAAACTTGTGTTTCCCATTTTCTGTAGGACAAATGTTTTTCTTCAAATATATTTAATTTTTCTTCAACATCATATTTATCGCGTAATACTAGTTTCAATTTTGTGTAGACATATTTCATCATTTTATTAAATTTTTTCACTGTTAAATCTGTTCCATCGACAATTTGTTGTTCATTTGTGATTACTACTGATTCTTCATCACTTTCACCACCATCACCCTCCTCTAAATCATCTTCACTTTCATCTTCGATTGTTGGATCATCATCTATACCATTTCTAGTTTTATTCATATTTTGAAATAATCGTTCAAATTTTTGTTCAAATTTCATTAAATTATCAAGTAATAATTTATCATTATTCGATAATTTTCGTTTTGATGTATCGTTGTTCACAAAATTATTCGATTGCTGATTAATACTCAATTCCAGATTATGATTCTCATCAAAATACACGAGATGTTCACGTATTTTCATTTGTAGTTCGGTTAGGTTTTGTGGTGTCGATGATGATGATGATGGAGATGTTTGTCGAAGATGATTGAATATATTTAATATTTTTGAATAATAATCATATTGTTGATTTGTTAGAGAATCAAATTCATTCGTATAATACTCTTTTAATAGTTTTACCTGTCGAGATTGTTCAATTGTATCAGATTTTGTCTGTTCATATACTTCACGTAAACGTTTTAATTCATCTAATAAACTTGTTTGTTGACATTGTAACGATACAATTGTTTCTTCATATGATTGAATTTTTGACGTTGAATTATCCGAAGAAAAAGAATCACATACATCTGAAGAGAAAAATATTTAATAGAAAGTTGAAATCAAAGTAAGTGTTGATTGTACAAACCTTTAGCGACAACTGGTACAGGTGGTGGGAGGACTTGAGTACTATTTGAGGATGGTGATAATTTATGGGGAGCATCGGAAAAACGACTGTAAGAAACAAAAATACGTAAATATTTATCAGGATAAAACAAAGAAAATTCTTCCTACTTATTTGATGAAAAGGTAAAACCAATGAAAGGTAAATGATGACCTGTAAATGCTGCGTGTGACACAGGAGCTACGGTATCCTAAATGAAAGATAATATGGCATGGTGTAAAAAAATAATAACTGGACAGTAAAGACGATGAAAAGCAACAGTAATCAAATAAAGCACAAACACAAACGTAGTCAATTTAAAATCAAACACATCGTTCTAATCAGCACGCTTCAACAAATACAAGTAAACTATATGAATACCGTCAAAAAAAGCTATACAAACAAAACCTTTTAAATCGAGTGGTATTAAGTTAGATGAGTAAAGGAGGAAAAAGTTTGTGGTTATTTTCCTATCTGCTAGAAATTTATTATAAAAGAAGACAGTTTGTCATTGTCAGCGTCTAAGTTCGATATGTGGGCTTGATCACAGAATAAACTAAAGCGATCAACATTTTCAAAACTGGAAGAAGGAAACATGATGTTTTAAGCTAATCAATCACGTTCACTAATATAAAACAGCATTCATAATACAGAAAGTTCAATAAACCTTCTATAAATCACTTTAATTACATCATCAGTTGTTAGAATCTTTCAAGCTTCGATCACACTGCACTTTTCTTCAGAAAACAAAAGATAACTACATCCAGTGTTTCCGATTGTTTTTGGCACGGAAAGGAAAATGTTTTCGACGAATATTTCTTTTCATATAAGAAATTGCGCGAAAATAAACTCCTTGTTAAAGGACGTGGCACATCACCGATTTCTCGTTGTTTCAGCTCAAAATACATTTGTTCGATATTTTCACTCGAGATCATTGTGTGCGGCGATTTATAATGAACTATGGAATTATTTAATAATACATCTGTCTAACATCTCGGACAAAACACTTTCTACGTCATTAGGGAAGCTTTTTTGGGCTTAGATCCTATCAAAATTCACTCAAAGAAATTCTGATGGATATCTATTGCTTTAATCTGTAACCAATAATGTTATGAATACAAAAAGAAACGTCTGGTGCATTGTTTTGCTGTACGATAAAAAGCGTGTGCCAGATCATATGCAGACATGCTACATCCTTCTTAATACACCTGTTAGTTTTCATTGTCTGCCGTTTTTGCTAGTAAACAGAGGTTCACAAGAAGTTGATTAAAGATATTATTCTGTTTCAACTACTAGTAAACTTCATTTGTTACTTAAAGTGAAAAAGTTCAACAAATTTTGTCAGAAACACAAAATTTGGATGTAGAATTACTATCTTGATCGGAAACACTGTTTGTATCTAAAATACATGTTTAGTTGTTTAATAACTACGAAGAAAATACGAGCAACAACAACAAAAATAAAAACAATAAATCAAATAAAACAAATAATAATTCTCAAAAGCGTGATCGACATAAAAAGAAAATATCTGTGTAAGTGCGTAGACAAAGAATTATATCAAGCGATAATAAATGTATCGAGAACAGTACCTTTTTATAATTCTAAACGCAAACAACAAATATACAATAGAGATATATGTATTCGTTCGAGATTTCATGAAGACGAGAGAACAAATCTTAGAAAGCTAGATATAATAAAAGTTAAACATACTTTTGATGATGGTTCAATATCATCAACATCGAAGTTAGATGTATCTATTGGACTGCTAACAACAGGAATATAAGGAGCGGTTGCTAGAAAACATAAACAAAAACATCATCAGTATATTATATTTAGATAAAGATTCAAAGATAAACTTACACTGGCGTATATTAGACCATACAATTGATTGAAAAAACAAATGATTTTTAAAATCTTCTAAACCATTTTTTCCTAAACGTTGTTCCGATGTACATAATAAATGTTTAAGTAAATCTTTTGCACTATCTGATACGTCGATATCGCTTGGAAATGGCAATGGTAACTAAAATAAAATAAATGATAAAAATGCTTTTGCTAGTTAGATTACCTCTATAAGGGTATTCAACTTCCAGTTTGTTAAAAATCTTCTAATACTGCTAGAAAAGATCATGCACTTACTTCTTTCTGAACATGCATCATAATTTTTCCGTAAGTTTCTAATAAACTTTCAGCATAAAATGGTGGTAAACCAAAAAGCATTTCCCACATTGCACATCCTAAACTCCACCAATCACACTCCGATCCATAACGACCTTGCCCCTGTTCCATGGCTCGTAGAATTTCCGGACTAATATAGTCTGGTGTTCCAACAGCCACATTAGATTGAACCTGAAATGAAAGGAATAAAAAGTCAAATTGTTCATCGCGTTTTTCTGTTGTCTTACTGTTCCATCGGCTCTCATTCTTAAACATGATCCTACAAAAGAAATTTGTCCATGAACCACACACATTAACAAACAGATAATTCTTACTAACCAAAATCTGCTAAACGAATATGCCCCTGGCCATCGAGAAGAATATTATCTGGTTTAATGTCCCTGAAAAAAAAAGTCAAACGCACTATCACTAACAGTTTTTCTCAAAGTAAGATATTCTTCTACGGTACGATACCTATGTACATAGCCCAGTTTATGTAATGAATCAATAGCTAAAACCATTTCAGCCACATAGAAATGTGTCATCTCCTCGGAAAAATGATCGTTAAACTTTGAAAGTAACGTTAACAGATCACCACCAAAATAATAGTCCATAATGAAATACTAAAATAAAAAGTTGATTGAAGTTTTTCCAAAAATAGATCAAACTCTCTTTTTTCTACAAGATAACAGCAGATATAAGCATGTCTCTTACCAGATTTTCACTATCTTGAAATGCATAATAAAGTTTTGTTAACCAGTGTGGATCACCAAATACGAGTACATCACGTTCTTCTTTGAAGCAAGCTGTATCAGCTCGTTTTAACATTTCCCATTTATTCAGCGTTTTCATTGCATAAACACGATCAGTTTTTTTCGTGCGTACAACAGCAACCTTAAAAAGAAAAAATATCTATGACAAGACAATAAAACGAACTAGACAATCTATTTACTTCTCCGAATGCTCCACGTCCAATAATTTTGATTGTTTCAAAATCATCACGATTTAAGCGACATTTTTTTACTCGTGTAACAAATGATTTTGCTTGAAGAAAAAAATTATGTATATCGTATTTCTTTCATCAGAACCATGTTTCTTACCATGATCAATAAATTCTGCGATTGTTTTTTCTCTTCTCAACGTTGAATTGCAACATTCATCGTATAATACAATAAAAGCATCTAATAATGCTTCAACACTTATAGATTGATCTTTAATCGATGAATTAAACAACAATCTTTCTAATTCATTTAAACGTAATTCAACACTATCCATATAACTTGCACTTGTCATTCCATCGCTATTAGTGTTTATACCATTTACCATAGCCATTTTGACTTTTTTATGATAAATTCACGCAAAATCATTTGTGGTATTGCCCTTGCAACGGTTCATTAATGATGATGTTTTACTAATCACAAGAACACGTTCACTTTTGTAATATAATAGAAAAACGAAGATTTTTATAAGTCAGAAAGAACATACTAAAATTAATAGTAGAATGCATTGATTGATATTAGCTAAAAGATACGGTGGTCTGAATTTTAGTCCAGAACATCTACCTTTAAAAAAACAGATATTAAGTCTGTACTGGTGTTAAATATTGCAAAAATGTCTAAGGTAGAATTTTGTGATCTTTATGATAGTTATATTCAAGAAAAAAGGTCTTGGCTTATGCTTTGCCCAAAACAAAAGTATGTCAGCAAATATAAATAACATAAATTGAAAAATAAAAAAACGAAACAACAAATTTGAATAAATAAATGAACGTAGTAAACTTTAGATCTCAATAGCTGATTTAAACTAATCAGCAAACTCGCAGCCATCGTCATATTCATCTGGTAAGGGCTCCCATCAACAAAAACAGTAGCTGTCACTAGCAACGATGTCGGTAAAGCTGCTTTATATCAAGCCTTTTTATTTCTTTTCAACTATTTTATGAAGGATAGCATTTGCTACAGTCATAAAAAATCTTGAATTAAAGAAAGTTGAGAGAAAGCATGTTCATGCATACATAATTTTTAATAGGAAAGAAAGAGGGGAGAATGTTCCCTTGGACATTTTTATCAGAGATTATTTTTTTCCTCATATGAAACTAAGTTATTCGTGTAACGTATTTATCGTGTAGCAACATCACTAGATAATTTCGTGTTTGAAAGAATCTTTTAAAGTGTTTCTCACTCTGTTTTTCTACTAAATTTAGGAATAAGTTTTCCACTTTTTGGGTCTTCCACGATTTTTGAGTCTTTTTAATCTACTAGAACACAAACTCAAAAATAACATGTAAAAAGTTTTTTCTGCTTCTCAGTCCTTTCTAGATGGCAATTCTGTTGCTCTGGTATGACCTCCTCTGGCAGCTTCGAGAGCATTAAATCTTTTCCTCATGGAACACAGCAAATCAATAAAAAGATCTGTGTCATCTTCAAGATCCTTGAGTGTATTCTCGAGGTTAGTTTTGAGAATATCATAATTGTATCTATCCCGATGATCTTCGCTTGTCATCAGTTCTTCAACTTTATCTTTGATAATTGCATCAATGTTTTCTGCAGGATTCATGTCAGAACTGTTGCCAGGTTAAACTAAAATAGATCGGCTAAGCATGTCTGTATTTTCCATACTCCAAAATCACTAATACTGCGACTATAAAGAATTCAAATCTTTTTCTCGAAAATTCTTTGAGAATGCTATGCTATAGGCCAGAAATTAAGAAAATATATCGAAAACATAAGTTGACTACGTTTGAAAGGCGACTCGCGCACTCTCTAAGTCTCATTTTGTGATTAGTCTTTGTTTTGCAGCTAATGCGAAGAAGAGAGACTCAAACACAGACAAAGGTGATTTGAAACCTTTTTATAAAATGTATGAAAAAGCAATTAGATAGACATCTTATACTGGGAAGATAAGATGAAAGCTATCAAATTTTCAGCTTCTTGGCTTACCCAGGTCGACACTCGCGTCTAACTCGCGGCGCGATCGCTCTGTCGCGATAGCGATCGCTGTGAATTCGCGAAGTCGCCACGCGATCGCGGTAAAGTCGTATCCTTTCAAGAAACGTATTTTAGAAGACTCGCGACGCGATCGCTATTGATTGGCTGTCTCGCGTCGCGATCGCTATAAAGTCCTGTAGTCGCGGCGCGACTCTCCGAATCTCTCTGTATCGTCAGTCATACACGTGGCCAGAGTATATATGTATATATGTTTATATCACATGGAGCAATCTATCCTTTTCTAACATTTTTCTTCAAACGAAGACACATGCTTCTTATAAACGTATATATATTCTCGCCACGTGTATGATTGACGATATCAATGTTTTTTTCCCCAATTTAAACGAGACAAAAAAACAGTGTCGGTTATATGTCACTTTATTTCTTAAAGTAGACTACTTTTATACTCGAACTTTTTGCAGTTTATATCTGCTTTTTGAACCCTTTTAAAGTTGAACTAAACCATTAAAATAACCAATTTACAGAGTAAGTATACAACAGTTGCAGTGAGAGAATAGGGATATATAAAATCCTTTTTATTTTACTGTCGCACAGCTGTAACTTTTCTCCATTCATTTTGGGTATCAAAAGCGGTTCTTCTTTCTCATGAAATGCACCAAATATACAGGCTTTCTCAGTATAAAGACTCAGTTAATGTTTGCTGTGTAAAGATCTGAAAATAAAACTGCACAGAAGTGAGAAATGCATGAAAGGTTGACGTTATAACAATTGTGAGTATCCTCAGTGTAATATCGCTTTGCTGTTAGTGACTCTCAGGATGTAGCGATGATCAGTTCGGTTCTGTTTGACGCACGGATGATTGGGGCTTAGCCATTCCGCCTCATTCGCAGAATATTAGATTGGCTCTAATAACGAACTGATCCTAGCGATAATATCTACGGATATACATTCTCTGAAAGTCCAAGGGTGAATGTTTTCTTCACACATGACAAACGTTACCTTACGGTAACTCACAGACGAACTATAAAACATTTAACCGTTCTTACTTTTATTCTGAGATGAAATGCCAGTTATATGGCAAACCATAGTTGAGAAATACATGAGAAAAAACTACTAATATGGTTCTTATGACAAGTAGAAAGGATTTACATAAAGAGAGAGCGTGTTAATAAAACTACTGTGTACTAGTTTGATCTCAACTTCAAAGTGAGTCTGAGATGAATGATTGATCCTGATTGCATTATGTTCCCGAAGAGAAACCGGGTAAAACACGGTGAAATCAGTGTTTCACCTACCTTGGGACACACTTTGTTTTTAAGTGACTCTTTTATACCAAAAGTTATTTTTCACTTTTTTTTGTGGCATATACGGACTGTTAATCTGTGAAAGAGATCTGTCTCAAAAGAAAACTTGTCCAGAAATCCGATGGTGTAGCATTGTGACTAGCGAAAATGAGACCTATTTAGATAAGGGAACAGAGAGTTGAATTTACTGTGTACATCCTTTGAATTTACTACCTGACTCTCTATTTATGCTGATTTCTCCTTTTCAAACAAAGATTATAACAAGATCAAAGCATTGTCTGCTCGCATTAAAAATTTGATTGCACTATGTTCTCGAAGAAAAGTCCGAGTAAAACATAGTGTAATCGAAGATAACAAACGATGATTGGAAACCTGTGAAACTAGTACATATCGGTGGACCATAGCATGCCGTCCGCACTGGTAGTTCCGGCCTTTTTCCAGTACTATACTGGGATTTTTCTGTAGGAGCGTCGGCAGCAATTCAGCAGAATTCTTGTCACTTTCGTGGAAGATCTTATATAAGAATTGAGTAAGATTCTTATAAGATGCTTGGAAGATTCTTATATCAGAACCGATCACTAGGGCAGTTAAAAACAAAGATAAAAGCAGAAAACAGCTATTGCGAGCGAATTTAACAAATCGCGACTTTCTCGCGAGTCGAGAAAGAATCGCGCCGCGACAGCAGGACTTGCACCGCGAGAAAGGAAAATCGCGATTGATTAACTGATAAAAAACGCGAGTCGCGTAACGATTATACCGAATGTATAGAAAAACTCGCGTTTCATCGCGATTTTATAGCGATCGCGAAATTAGCGAGAAATTTCGCGAGTCTATAAGAGATCGCGTTACGCGTTCGCTCCGCGACTTTTTATCGCGACTTCATCGCGATAGTCGACATGGGTATAACATAGCATTCTCAAAGGATTTTCGAGAAAAAGATTTGAGTTCTCTATACTCGCAGTATTAGTGATTTTGAAGTATGCGTACTTACTCATCCTTTCATTTCCTCTCCTCCTGAATGCGGGAAATTTTTTGGGATTGTGATGAAAAGTGTACAAACTATAGACAGTTGTGCCATCTATTTCGGTAGAGTTGGTAGTAGAATAACTTATTTTAGATTTGTCGATTCTCTCAACCAAACTTTCTGTCTTTTTTATTCGCATGTTATATTAGTATTTTGATGAGTCAGTTTCTTCTTCTGCGAATGAGTTCGAAGAGCAGTTTTTTCTCAATTCATCTAAAGAAACCTTTTTTGTTGTGATGCTGATTGAATAAACTTCATAGTGTCTGACTTTTGTTCGCTTTTTCTAGTTTTGTTATCGATACACGAGCGTCGATTTTTACCAGATCAAAAATTATTTTATTTGTTGTATGTTTACAATATTCTTCACATAATGCAGAAAACAGTATAAAATGGATGTTACATTAGTGAGAAGAATTCCTTTTCCAGTTCAACACTATTCTCATGATTATGTTCACATCAGTTACATAGTTCTTACAGTGATACTCTTTTTAACTCAAGCTATTACAAGAACTTATGTTGATTTCAATTTGTTTTATGGTAAGAAATAAACAATAAAGTCTAAACCTAGTTGAGTGAGAAGAACGAATCAAGTATAAGATGTTGAAAAGAAATTATTATTTTTGACTGAAGTTCAAAGTATTCATTTTTACAGCTCACTGTGATCTTATTTATGCATGATATTTTTAGGAAGCAAAAACTCAAGTGGTAATATTCCTGCATTGAACAGATATCCAACTGAACTAACACCAGCGAGTTATACATATTTAATATGGTATCTGATTTTTCTATGGCAGGTAATATTCAATAGATTTTCAAACGCCTGTATTTTGTCAACAATTGATGATCTTCTTCTCTAGGCTGCTCAATATATTTACTCCATTATATCTATATTTCGTAAAACAGGCGAAGATTATTTTTATAAAAGTCCAAATGCAATGAATAAATGGTGTTTCTTCTACTCGGCATTTAGTTTGCTGATGTACGTGCCTCAACTGACAGCTGCAGTACACAATTATTATAATGGATATGTGAGTGTACAAGAACATTTGTATCAATATTTCAATATATTTATCTATTTCTAATCTTAGATGTCAATATTTCGTCATGTTGGTACATTCTTCGAAGTGACTGTTGTTTTAGTTTTTACACATATTGCACTCGCAGACCATTTGAACGATTATATGAGGTTGAAATTGTAAGTAATTGATTATTAAGTGTAACATTTATACTCTAGTATTTTTTTATTTCCCTTTTCAGATTTGTTGATATATGGCTTGCACGACTTCTTTATCATAATGGTATTGCTCTATTGACATGTTGGCTTTATTTTGAGACTGTTTTGAGTATTGTCATTGCCATTGTAAAACATAATCATGATAAGGAAACGCAAACTGCAACAGTGGGATGTTTTCTTCTACTAATCGGTATATGCCTGTATTTTATATTTGAAAATATTGCTTTTCCTCGTGCAATGGCTTATACGTTTACTCCTTGGTTTACTTTCTTATGGATATTTATGGGTGTATTATCTCAACAATACAGAAATCGAACACAAAATAGGATACTTATTTTTTTGTTAATGGTATTAACTATGATATTCACAGTTATTCGAATTTGTTTGTTTACATACTTATATTCCAAAAAGTTAATACCAACATTTTCATCACCTCGTATTTATAGTCGTATAGTGGATCCCAGACCATTTTTGTAAAAAGTATTATGGTAGCCAGTTTTGTATGTTTGTGAAAATATATATTTTTATTATTATTGATTAAATTATTTAGAAAAAAAATTTCAACTTTTTTTACTCAAAAATACATCACCGGTGAAGAATTAAATTGATATAGTTTTTGTTTATTCAATATTAAATCATTCCTATTCCAGATGGATGATTCATTTAAAAATATTGATTTTTCTAAACAGACATATTGGAATAAACGTTTCGAATGTGAAGATGAATATGAATGGTTTTGTAATTTTGATCGATTAAACCCGGTATTAAAAGAATATTTTATTAATTCTTCTATGACAAATCATCTATTACATCTTGGCTGTGGTACAAGTCAATTGGCTGAGCATTTGTACAATAAAGGCTATTGTAAATGGATAACAAATATTGATTATTCACCACAAGTTATGGAAAAAATGTTAAAAAAATCTACATATCATAATATTAATTGGCTTGTAGTAGATATTCGTTTGATGCCGTTTGTTAATAATACATTTGATATAATCATTGAAAAAGGAACACTTGATGTATTTTTTGTTGGTGAACATGATCTGTGGCATCCATCGGAAACTATTATGAAGTTAATGGATCAAGTATTAACAAAAATTTCCGAGTGTCTAACTGCTGGTGGGACATTTATTTCGATAACATTTCAACA